AGGAAAGTGGTGCTGAAATATGGGACATTTCACACTGAGAGAGGAAGTGAAAGCACATGTCATGGTGGTGTGTTTACTTTTGAACTTGACTTGGAACATGACAAATGTTTCCTCAATTTGACTGAAGGCTAATGGGATGCAACATGCCTTGACTAATGTACTGCATTGAGTAATTCACATTCACCACTGAAACATTACAGTAACAGAAGCACTGCAGGTTAAAATGGTCACCATCTAAACTATAACCATTCTTATAACATGACATATTTGTACCCCTTAAAGAGAATGAACACTACTCCTTAAATACGTTTTTGATCACTACGCCAAACTATTTGACATCTATAATAACCATTATTTCACCAGCACCCTATTTCTAATGTACAGTATGTGAATTTATTTAAACATTGTAAATCTTGTCTTGAGGGCAGCTTAAAGGCAATGCCCTCAACTATTTAAATGCATCTGATAGCAAAGTTGGATTTTCTGGCAATTCTTTAATTACTCGGAGCATTGTCATTATTACATGCAAAAAAGAGTGAAAGACTTTCTTAAAACAATGCCTCATGCCTGGATTATAGGTTTAGTAGTAGTAGGTTTAAGATTTGTTTGGGTATTAACGATTCTAATTACAATTGCTTAACATGCTTAACATTTGTATACAGTATAATATTGGATGATATGAAATACAATTATTATTAGTGGAATGTACATTAACTTAAGAAAATTAACTCAAGTACTGTACATAGGGTACTATATTGTTTTTGTAAATGTGAAACCATTTCCTTCAAACTACTAGTTCCTCGCAGACAACTATATTTCACAAGATAACGTTTGTTTTAATTTACATAAGTATTACTTAAAAAATGGATATCAGCCAATTTCATTTATATATAGACTAATAGGCACTATGAGTGAATACAGTGATATTGTATATCAGTACGAATTAGGAGGGAAAACTGTTTTTAATTACAACCTTTGATTTTAGCTGGTGGTAATGACTACCACCAAAACTCATCCCCCATGATGTAACCTTCTGAAATATCTACACAGTGGATACTAACTTAACTACTCTCTCTTGGGAGTTTTGTTTCCCCCCTTTCTGTTATATGATTATAATTACACTGTACAAGGCATCTGAATTAAAAAAAGGCATTAGTACACATGACAGCAGCTGTGCTTTCAGACATAAAGTTAAAAACAGAGACATCAAACTTTGTCTCAATAAAGCCCTCTGAAGAAACACGACATCTTGATTTAGATGCAAAACACAATCCCATGCTCGGCTGGCTCCTCCCATGAGGGGCCAGGAGATTAAGATTTAATGGTGATACTGAGGGAACGACACTATCTGTCTGCAGCCTCCCGTCTCTTCACACAACATCACCTCTGTTACTTTCCTATCTCTTTCTCTCCCACAAACACAGATGCAGACGCACTTTGCTACACAGTCGTTGCTACACTCAAGTTTGGGCACACAAACACACACACAAGCATGTGTGTGCTCCCAACAGATGCTTTCACGCACACACACTTACACATTTAGAAACTCACACGTTATCTGAAATCTGACAAAAGCTTGGCGACTGGCAGATGAAGTCAACTGGAGTTTGACTTGTAAATTAAAACTCTTGTCAAGATGATCTTTTTTGATGCATGAATACTGGAATTGGCTTAAAAAATGATGGATCTGCACTCAACATGCCTAACAAAACAAACACGGCTGATAGGATAGTGCTGTTTCACAGTGTAATGCACAGTGCAGATGTCATCAAGTCAGTTTTAATTTGATTATATGTGACATATACGACACATGCACATAACAATATTTATATCCTTAGTCAGTATATACTGTCAATCTAAATTACTGCATTGAAACAACAATTCTAGTACGTCTCTGTCAGGCAGTTTTCATATTTAATGTTTGCCTGATTAACAAGTATTTTTCTGTAGATCTGCAGGAGAAACACTTCTTATAGAAATATTCAGTTGCAACCCTGCAGAAATCCTTTCCTAATGTTATCAGGGTTTAAAATGTATCTGTAATGGCTTCCTCCCTCCAAGCACTATTCTTTATCCCGTGATATTTGAAGAGGCATTATAATGGAAATGAATGATGCATCAGCTTTCACTTGCATTCACAGGATCAGGTTATTTCATTAAAAGAGCAGGTGATCTCATATTTTATACACCTTATTGTACTGCATTGACTCAGGTATAATATCAGTTACAAGTACTGGTATTCTATTTACAATATCTTAACGTATCTCTGCCGTGGCATGCATGCATTATTTAAAAGTGTACAATATAGAGTGAAACCATTTGGTTAATGTCACTAAATGTTTAACTTATAGAAAAAATGGCAAACTCAATTAAACGTTACATTTAATATAATAATCACAGATGTCCTCAGCATGACTTCCTATTATAGTCTGAGGCAACACAAGTAGCTAGATTAATTATACTTGCTGTATTTTGCAATTCATAGACTTATGTATCAGAGGTGCTTTCTTTAGAAGCTGTGAGGAGTTCATGGACTCATTGTAAACCTAGAGTATGCTCCTGGTGCGACAGAAAAGTCAAGGTGACTACTGTATGTGAGGCCTTTTCCTTAGAAGGCTCACGTACTGCTGCTTTGACCTGCTTGTCCTGGCGGCATTGGTGAGGAGTCGAGGTATTATTCAGTGATGATTTGTGTGTCAGCGGTCGAGAGGCTGCACCGGGGGAGAATGACTCGACACTGGCAGAGCACATAAAGCCAATGAAGCTGGAAGACTTGAACAGGGTCAGTGTCACAGGGTTAATGTGTATATCCTGCTACAATTATCCAACAAAGCCCTTTGCCATACATATCTGTAGCGGCCAAAATCATATAGAAATAAAACTGATAATTAACTTAAAATAACACTGCCGCTGAGGCACCAGTTAGCGGAACTTACGCAGGGCAATGATGCAGGTCCAGACAAGAGTATCCGTTTCTGCATTTTATTATGATCCAATATCATTCAACAGGTTTCCTATGGTTTGTTCCTTAAGCCTTTCCTATGGCTTTCCTTTCTTGTGGCTGGAAAACCCTGGTAAAAAACCATATGCCTACTATTGCTCTGGCTCCCACCACCACCTGTCTCCAATATATACAATTACACCATAATCACCCAGTGCCCAAACACATATCCTTTGCTTTTTAGGTAATGGCATTCTTATGTGTTTAAAAATGTTTGTTTGTGGTATATAGTGGTGCAGTGATGACATATTTGTATATGCTGACCCAGAAGTTAGGTCATCAGCAGTGCCCTCTTGGATCCTGAACTTCCTGATGGGCAGACCCCAGGCAGTGCGGGGGGGAAACATCACATCCTCCACCCTGATCCTCAACACCGGAGCCCCTCAGCTCCAACACCATCGTGAAGTTTGTTGACGACACAAGCGCCATCGGCCTGATCACCGACGGCGACGAGGATCACAACCTCCATCTCAATGTCAGCAAAACCAAGGAGCTGATTGTGGATTACCACAAGCAGCAGAGAGAGGGACACGCCCCCATCACCATCAATGGGACTACGGTGGAGAGAATCAGCAGCTTCAGGTTCCTCGGTGTCCACATCACTGAGGACCTGACCATCACCAAAAAAGCTTGACAGCGGCTCTTCTTCCTCCGCAGGCTGAGGAGGTTCAACATGGACTCCAGGATACTCTGCAACTTCTACAGGTGCACCATAGAGAGTATCCTGACGGGCTGCATCACGGCCTGGTACGGTAGATGCACCGCCCTCAATTGCACAGAACATCACCAGGACAGAACTTCCATCCATGGAGGACCTTTACTCCCAGCGGCTCAGGAAGAAAGCCCTCAGGATTATCAAAGACCCTCATCACCCCAGCAACAAACCTTTCTTTTTGCTGCCGTCTGGCAAGCGGTACCTTAGCATCAGGATTAAACCCATTTCACTCAGAGGCAGTTTTATCCCATAGGCCATATGACAATTTAATGCCTGAGCTTGCACAATATTTATTGTTGTTATTTCTTTTTTTTTACTGTTATGTCTTGTAATTATATTTTTGAGGAACCTGTGACCCACGTTTTTCATTCGTTACACCACTACACTGTAGTGTGTATATGATATGACATTAAACCTTTTAATCTTGAGGTTTGCAAGGGGTCCCTCTGCAACAAGCAATGGAAATTCCCCATTGGATTTCGATATATTTTAGGAAAAAAAGCTTTGTTGCCAATACATGTGTATGATACTGACACGTTTGTTCAGCAGGATCATCTCCACGTAATAACAACATTTTTGGAGGGTTATGTAACCGGCAGGAATACAAATCGAACATAATGCTATAAAGGGTCGCAAGGGTTGGGCGCCACCACCAGTAAGCTAAAGGCGGACTACTTTCGGCGTACGTTTAATGGTTTATTTAGTCATTTATTGTATCAGCAGCTGCCGGTTGAATGACACACAGCAGCAGTGGAGATTTACAAGTGGGATGATTACTGACTTATTTTATGTCGTAGCACGGTACGTAAAACATCTCTTAAGCTTGTGTTAACCACAGACCTCATTTCAGGCTTCTGAACACAAACATATTAAAAAAACATTGACTTTGAGAAACGGGAACCGAAAAGTGGTGAAATGCCCCAAAATAATATTTCCGGGTTTTAATACTCATTACTGAACTACTATTTTGAAACTGTTATCAGTTAGTAGTATTTCTTACTCTGTGCAAATGAGAGAAAGTAATGTGTGTTGTAGAAATAAAAATACAAACGCGGTTGGGTAAGATCTAAACAATTAGGTTTCTGGTGTTTGCAGGTTGTGAGTAACATTATTATGTCACCCTGACCAAACAGACACCACAGGGAGGGATTTTTTATACGCTTTGTCAATTTCTCTGTTCCACAATAGCACCAAGACAGACACAAATGTAATGAAATAGTCCAAAGTGAACACATAAGTATTTGGAACAAAACCACTAAGAGACAGTAAATGTTTGCTGCTTACCACTTTGAGAAGCAATCATCCCCTCAGCCATGGCCTATTCTTCTCTCTCTTCTTCAGCAGTGGTTGTCCCTATTTTCGGTGTTTTGTCTGGAAGGAGAGGAGAGGGAACAGGTAGAAATAAAAAGGAAAAACGATGTGCGAGTATAAAATCCACAGAGAGAATCAATACATAAAGATCCCAATTTCAAACATCTTGAAAACATAATGCTAGGAAATTAGAAGAACACACAGTAAAAGAGACAAGAAATCGATAGTAGAAACAGTGACAGCAAATAGCTTCGCGGTATGGTGAGTTTTCAAATCACATTAAAAATCACAGGATATATACATCTATTCTAATTTACTTTAAACTAAGCAAGGCTTACAGTGAGCTGAGTCCTGGTTCGATTTTTTTTAACAGAAGTTCCTGATCTTTTTAGAGTCCCTAGCAAACAGTGTGACCTACGCAATGCACACTGGCCCCTGCCTGCTCCTCTCTACTATAATGAGTCCCCTTATCCAGACTGCAGGAGGAAACACAGAGGATGGTGATTATGCAAAAGGCGTGCCTGAGTTGGTAATGCGACGATGAATAAGAAAGAGAGAAAGGAGACAGTTATCTCCTTCAAGTCCAAAGGCAGAGAGATACAAAAAAAAAGTTTGACTCAGGACACTCTTGTTAAAATCATTCTTGACACCCTGTGCTATTAGTACGCCATTAAGAGTTCAAGGACAATGGCTGTCCTGTTTTTTCATCATTTATCCGTTGGATCCCCTTGTTAAGCCTGAACCCAGATCCTCACAATGTCCACAGAATATTGATGCGCTGTGAGGGGGTGATTTTCCTGAATTTATAATAATCCCCTTTTTTGTCTGCCCTTGATATAACAGATAAACCAAATACATTTGATAATCCAGAATGAAAAATCCATGTCATCACAACTGCATAAACACATTATACATACTAGCGTCTATCATAAGACATCATTTTAGCCAAGCTGGCATTGCCAAAAAGCGGAAAGCAATGTCATTGAATTATGTTGACGCATTTATGGTACCCAGAGTATTTAGTATACATGTAGTAGTACATCATTTGTTGACACAGTGCCACCAATAGCACAAATGTAATGAACTCAACAACTGATATATGCCGATACCATGTATCCTCCCATCTTTAGCAATTTGTTGACCTATCACAAGGTCGACTTTTTTGGTCACTGAAACAAATACTGCCACACATATCGGATTCATTGCCATAAAATATAACATGAATCCCCCACATGGGATGAATTGGAATACATGTGATGATCACCTGCCTTTTTCATCTAGCACTGCCATCAGACCAAGATGGCTGTAGTCCTATTCTTTGTTAAATTATAAACTTATGGAGACATTCACTGTTGCAGTGTGTAAGGCCCGTTTGTGCAAAACAAATGTACATTAAGGCACTATTTTCACATTGTATCTCTCTAGTTTTGTAACAAACTATGCCTCTATATTTACGTGGTCATTGGTGTAAATGAATACCCTTTAATTGTCAATCTGTCATCTCTCGCCTCAGCATAAACGTTACAAACTACTCTGCCTAGACTGCTTGGCCCTGAATCGTAAGGATGCATTAGTATGCCATTTGCCACCTGGAATCAAGATTCACACCAATCAAGACAATAGTGTCTCTCCTTAATTATGTGAACATAAAGCTTCTTAATATGCACGAGCACCTGGATGCTGTTATAGACATCAGGGCTTCATCAGCATTTGTTCTTAACTACCACAGCCCAAATCCAGATAATTGGTACTTTATTCTGTAGTATTGAGAGGGGCAGATTGGGAAATGGAATGTTTTTTTTTCTCTCTTCCGTTCTCACTGATGAGCTGAACGAGAGAAAAGAAAAAAGGTTTTCACCAGCAGCAGGATTCATTGCAAGAAAATATGAGATGTGAGGTGAGAATCTCATAGTTCAGAAGTATCCTTGGAGGAGGACAAGGTTATAAGATAACATTTTTATAATCATCATTAAAAAATATATAACATTTAGTTTGACTATATTTTTGTTGAGAACATGACTCTAAAACTTGCCTGAGAAAAGTTTTTGGTAAGAACATTTTGAAAGCCGCAGTTTAGTTCAACTGCAGCAGAAAAAAACGAAACAACCATCCTACACAGTGTGGTGTTTATACATTTAGTGCAATGTATTTATTTGAGTGCTTTGCCAAAGATACACTTTATGCCAAAATGTATTTCCTTCCAACTAGCGATACACTGCTAATAAAGCAGAACCAATTACCTTGCACAGCTGGGTATGTTTTATATGTTTCCTTTCGATCGCAAGCTTTTGATTGCTTGTAAATACACGCCTGATTTATACTTCTTTACAGTGTAAAACGCAGTGGGCCCAATGACAAGAAAGCAATTAATCACATTATTATGCCAATTAAGAAGTTGGTCTGCTCCAGTGAAGGTAGAAAAAAGCGAGGGGATTGAAGATGTGAGAGTGAAGCCCTCCAGGAAGTGAATGTAAGCCATTCAAATACATCCATCACTCCCCCTCGTTTACATAGAGACACGGTCTTACATGTATGTGCGGTTTTTTAATGAAAATGTTGAACCAATTGGCCTCTTGTTACATAACCATTTTTATTTTTTCGTAATATGCATTTATTTTAAAGCAAAAGGATATTTATGATTGTCAAACACACTTTACATGACCCTGGTTGCTGTTGTTAAGATCATACGATAAATGACAAAATCTCCAATTATCAGCTTAGAATAAAGATAAAAACCAAGAGACATGATATATGAGACTGAGCATATATTATTTCACACTGCATTATGCCATGACATCTTCAATAACATCATGCAGGGACTACTCTGGGAAATCATTACGTGCATATTAACTCTTAAATCTATATACTTCAAAGTCCCTTTCAACTTGGACTTCAGCTTTCACTTAAAACTACATACGTTTTTTTTAAAGCCTGAAATGTGAAAAACGTTATGATATTATAACGCTTGGAAGAAGAGAATGAGATATATTGTGGTATATTGTGGTAAAGCAAAAGTTTGTATTTTGTCTAGTAGTGTTTTGGTAGCGTTAATTGTTAATTAGAGGTGCTGTTCACTAATGGAAAAAAATAGTAACTTTCTGCATCCACATTTCAAATCAACAGAGCGTTGAGTAAGAAGATGGATTTTTTGGACTTGCTGTAAGCTAACTAGGAGCTAAGTACCTTTGCTAGCATGAAATCGATGAACCCTCCACACAGTCAATGTGATCAGGGGATCTTTGCATCCATTTTTGGGAGCCTTAATGTTGTCTTGTAAAATCAATAACTAATCAGAAATGTCTACTACTACTAGCCAGCTCCTATTGATGGAGGTAGCCTGGCGTTACAGCTGTTTCTTCAACCATTCACATAGGTTGCTGTACCAGTCCTTCCCTCTGCCCTTCTCTCCTTCCCTCTTCTGGCTAACAACAGTGAACACACAGTATCGATTATACTGTAATCAATTTAAAACCACTACCACTGATATTAGACACTTTAAATGCTTTTCACACCAAAAACAAACTTTAGAATTGACTTTTAAGGAACTTGAACTACTACACTGTCAATATACCCACCATATTGAAGCTTTGCTTGACCTTCCATATGAACTTATGGTCAATCTAATCTCTGCAATTAATGCTTGTTATTTTTAGTCTTCATTCTGTATTCATTCATTGTGTTTAAAAGGGCTTTGCATCCCCTCCATGCTGGAAATGGTACGCTCCATTATAAAATACTATAACCCAAAAGTATCATCATACTATTTATACACCAAACTGCAAACCAGTTACACCAGACTCAGATCACATTCAATTTTCCAATAAGGATTTGGCTAGTGCATTTAAGCACTTTAAAAATAAATAAATATGTACTGTACCGCTCAATAACGTTGCTTTACTTTTCTGTCCTATTGGGAGTTTTGCAAAAACAAACAGCCCTCTAGGTAAACCTCTTCACATCAATCTTTGATAGGTAGTTTCAGGGATTTGTGTGATTTTAACAGTTCTGTTATCTACCACCTGGAGTCATCAATTGTAGTGATCTGTCAACAAAAGCAGCAATTCAAGGTATCACAAATCTATGATATAAAACAGTATGCATGATGTTCAGTAAACGACCAGTCAAAATCAAAGGATCCAAAGTGTTTTTAAACAAAGCAGAAATAGAACTAGTCTCCCAGTTCAAGTATCTTGGAGACATATTGGATTCAAACTTGACTTTTAAGAAACCTATTAAGAAAGTATCAAATACCATTAAATTCAACTTGCAAAATGTTAGACAAATTAGACCTTTCTTAACTGTCAATGCTGCTAAGTCATACTTCCACTGTATGATTCTATCCCACATTGAATACTGTTTGACAAACTGGTCGTTTGCTTGTGCCACAAACCTGAAACCCATAGAACAGCTGTACAAGAGAGCTATCAAGGTGTTTGACAGAAAGCCAAATTCATACCACCACTGTACCATCCTTGAAAAACACAATTTCTTAAGTTTTTACAATTTTAAGTCTTTTAAAAGTATGTGTTTTATTTATAAATGTTTACATGGACTGGCCCCCACCCCTCCCTTAGGGGAATTCATCCACAAAAAACACACTGGACGCTGCACTAGGTCAGAATCAAGAGGAGACTGTGAGGTCCACCACAGACGGACCACTTTTGGACAAAATGTCCTCTCCATTAAAGGCAGCTCATTCTGGAATAGCCTCCTGAGATACGGGATTGTCCCACTCTCAATAGTTTTAAAGGACAACTCAAAGAATGGTTGAGAAACAAACAAACGTGCAATCACTGCTAAATGCACTTTAACACAGGGGTATCTTTGCTATGTTTGTAAAATGTAAACTTCTTAAATGTTTTATGTGAGGGACTGTGGATGGAAATGAGCTCAAAGCTAAATCTGGCACTGTTACGCTTGACACATTTTAATGTTTTAAGTGTTCATCACTGTGCATTGTCCCTGCCAAATAAACGATTAAATAAAACGATATGATTTAAATGTTAAATACAATCATCTCTGTTGATGGAGGACAGCTTTAGGCTGAAGCAATATCTGAA